TGTCTTTTTCCTCCACCTCTGTGTTGTCCCCTAATGCCGAGGTCTTCGTTACCAGTTTAAAGAAACCGGACACTGCAGAAGTGACCTCGGGCAGCAGGCTCATTCCTGGAAGAGGAACGCCCACTCGGGGCTGGATGCCAAGCATTCATGTTCTGCGTCCAGCCCCGGTGAAATCCGTCCTTGCCCGCAGGAGAGAGGCCATGGCGGCGGTGTTTCTGCCCGGCAATCTCCAGGATGAAGCCACTTGCTCCGTCTGCCTGGAGTTCTTCAAAGACCCCGTGTCCATCGAGTGCGGGCACAACTTCTGCCGGGCGTGCATCATCAAGAGCTGGAAGGACTTGGAGATGGACTTCCCCTGCCCGCAGTGCCGGGAGGTCTTCCAACAGAAGAGCTTCAGACCCAACCGGCAGCTGGCGAACATGTCCGAGATCATCAGCCAGTTCACCCTCCGTGGGGCTAAGGGTGCCGAGGAAGACGGGCTCTGTGGGAAGCACAGGGAAGCCCTGAAACTCTACTGCAAGGATGACCGGAGGACCATCTGTGTGGTCTGCGACAGGTCCCGGGAGCACCGGCCTCACGCCGTGGTACCCGTCGATGAGGCATCCGAGGAGTACAAGGTACCTGCCTGTCTGTCTGTCCCCCCTAAGGAAGACCCCTCCAGGTCTTTCTGCCTCCCGAGGGGATGCGTTGTGCCGTGTATTTGTGCTCGCTGAAGTCCCTGAGCTGTCACCTGGCTTTCCCACGCTCACCCTTGCAGTCAACCACCCGGTTGCTGCTTTCTAGCTTTCCAAAGACCTGGGAAACCCCCTCCAGATATGCAAAACCCTCTCGTGAACTCACGTCCCCTCTGCAGCTGGGGAGAGCGTGGGTATAAACACAGGAGGCTGCGAGACAGAGCTTCTCCTGCTCAACCTCCTGCGAAATCCCTGGAACACTTCCCATCCCTGGAGGTGTTCAAGGCCAGGTTGGACGGGGCTTGGAGCAACCTGGGCTGGTGGAAGGTGTCCCTGGCTGTGGCCGGGGGTGGGGGGGTTGGAATGAGATGGTCTTTAAGGTCCCTTCCAACCCAAAACTTGCTACAAAACAACACGCGAGCATCATGCTGCGAACACTACCTGCGGGGCACCCACCTTAATCGGCAGGGCAGCAGCTGACGGAGCAAACACCCACATCTATTTTAGGTCCAGGCGAGCATCCAAAGATGAATTTAAGTTGATTAAAGCCAAGGCTGGGCTTTGCTCGTGCCAAGAGCGAAGGCGGGGGAGCAGCCGATGGAAAGAGCGCGTGAACCCTCCCCTGCCATCCCCATCAGGTGCAGTGAAGGAGAATGAATACAGCAACAGAAAGAAAGAAAATAAACGGTAATTTCTTCTTTCTTTGTTCCTAGGAGAAAATCCAGGGTCGCTTGGATTTCCTGAAAAAGGAGAGGCAAGAGCTGCTGGAGTTTAAAGTGAACGATGACAAGAAAACCCAGGAGCTCTTGGTGCGTGCGTGCGTGCGTGCAACGGGGTGCTCTGGGGTGGTGGGGACAAGGGTGGAGGTTGCGACACGTAGAGGAGAGTGAAGATAATGGCTGTTTGCAGAGCAACAGCCCATGACCTTTGCTGTCCCATCCCTACCCCTCTCCAAGGCCTTTGTCCCTGCCACACACAATATCTCCTCACCCCTCTCCAGTCTCACCAGCAAGCAGCAGCAATGACACTGGCAGGTGCTCCAAATTCACCAGGTGGCCCCTTTCCACCCCAAAATGGTTACATCAGCTTAAAACCCTTTTTGGTGCATTTCATTCCCAGAAAACCATCGAGAACGAGCGGCAGAAGCTGCTCTTGGAGTTTGAGAGGCTGCGGCAGTTCTTGCACGACCAGGAGCACATCCTCCTGGGGCAGCTGGAGAAGATGGAGAAGAGCATCGCCAAGAGGCAGAACGAGAACATCACCGACCTCTCCAAGGAGATCACGCTCCTCAACAAGCTCATCACGGAGCTGGAGGAGAAAATCCAGCAGCCCATGCTTGAGTTCCTCAAGGTGAGATGTTTGCTATGAAATGAGCCTTCAGGTCTGAGTCATAACCCTTCTTCATCCTTTGTTAATGTGTTTCTGGATCCTGTAGAGGTGTTTTGAGCATAAATGTCCTTTTTTTATTATTTTTTTTGCACCTTTAATCAACAGTCTGAGTGCCGTGAGCTCTGCTACACCAACAATAACACACAGCAACAATCTGTGGCTCAGGAACATCCCAAAACAGAAGTGTGCTCTTCATATCTAACAGCCTCTGATAATTTTTTCTTCCATGAATGTGTCTGGACCTTCCTAGTACCCGTAAACTGCTGTTTTGAGGCACTCAAAGCTGAATTAAACCTTGCATGAAGAGGTCACCACCACAGGCGGTACTGGCTAGGCTCCTTGAACCAAGCAGCTCCTTTTGCAAACCCAGGTTCTTGATGGGTTTGCAAGACTGAAGGTCTGTGGCACGCCGAGTCCTAGGTGTCCACTCCTCCAGCGTAAAGGTGAGGGCTCGGGATGGAGTCGAGTGGAGCCGGGCTCAGCGGGACGCGGCTCCTTGACAGTTTTCGCAGTGGAGTCCTGCCTGCAGGAGGTTGGCCGGGACCCAAAAGCAGAGCCGGGTCTTCAAGTCAAAATGAGTTATTAACCAAGCTGGAAAGTATGAGGGAGAGAGCAGATGGAGTCCAGGTATTGATTGCATGGCGAAGAAAGAAGCTGGAGCCCATCCAGCCCTCCCTGTTACCCAAACCCTCCTTTGCAGACGAAGCAGGGTTTGAAAAACAAACCTGAGCCACCCATCCCAAAACCAAGCAGTCCCGTCCTCCACCGAATGGCGAAAGGCTAATGGGCGACCTTCTTTGAATTGAGGGTGTTTTGATTAAACGAAGTAGACTGAGCTTCTGGTGCTCGGAGACCTGCACGGGGTTAAAGTCCCTCCCAGGCGGCGTTGAAAGCACTGTAAATATTTGGTTTCTGTACTGGGTTATGGGTGAAAACTCATTTCACGTGGTCTTTGCTCAGCCCTCACCAATGCACGCAAAAACCATCCTGCAACAATAAGTGATATTTTTTTTTAAGAGGCCACGTCGGAAATCCTTTGCCAGGACTCCAGAGTCCTTTTCTATTCTCTGGGAGAGGGGTTTTGTGTTGGCTTTGAATCACATCCAATGTACTCGCCACGGTTTATGCCCTTCTTTATATTATTTTAAAGGCGTCGGAAAGGGCAAACAGTGTCACGGACTGGACTGAGCATGAGTTTCATCTCAGTGAATTTTTGCCACGTAGCAACTAGTTGTTGAGGGCGTTTTAACCTATAATTCACCACCATCATCCACCCTTCCTGAGGGCAAATCATTTCCACTGTCGGAATATCCATCCCAGGGTGGGGTGCATCACCCCTTGGGGGCACCCTAAACTCTTCTTGGTGGTGACTAAACCGTTGAGGTCCTGATATCGTGGAGACATAGATGTGCAAGTTTAATGCCAGCTTTCTAGGTGGCCAAGTTGTGGCAGATGAGGTTCCTTTGCCTCTTGGGCAGGTGGATACTTGCAGGTGTCTCAAGACTTCACATGGGACAGGTTGATAGGACCTTCTCAGAAGTGGAAGATCAGTAGAGAGATCCTTAAAGCATCTCAAAAGTTGCCAGATGCCTATACCTGGGTTCACAACAACAGCAACAACAGAATAGGAACCGGAGAGGTTTTTGCAGTCACTGCCCTAGAAGATATTCCCAACTTACCTGGGCAAGGCCCTGGGCAAGCTGGCATGCTTTGAGCAATGGGTTGGATGAGAGACCTCCAAAGGCACCTTCCAACCTGAACCACATCACGACTCTATGGGCATAAACCTGGAGTATTGTATGGAGGAGCGTTTAGGAGGCTTGGTCCCCTTCCGAAGCAGCTGGGTCTTCAGTTGCCACAGACGCTTGGGTGGGATTTGGTGGGACTGTGGCCTTCCAAAGCCGAAAGCTAAGATTTCAGGCACGGATCCATGCCTGCTTGTTGAAGCCATGAGGGATGGATGTCCTGGTTAGGTTCAATGATGTCCTGGTTGGGTTCAATGATGTCCTGGTTGGGTTCAGTGATGTCCTGGTTGGGTTCAATGAAGGGGATTTGCTCTCGTGCTGTCTGAGCCAGGGGAGACGTAGCACGCGTTGCACAGTGATTTCACTCTCTCTCTTTTTCCTTTCTAGGATGTAATGAACATCATAAGCAGGTATGGAGCGCTGCTTCTCCCCCTCTTTCATGCCTTTTTTCCCCCCACCAGCACTATTTAAAGGTCAGTGTTTGCAGTCCGGATGCCAGAGGGAGGCAGCGGGGTAGACGGAGCTCGCCTCCTACTCGGTGCAAGCGCTGGGTCTCTTCCAGCTTCTTGGAAAACTTTGTGTTGTCACAAAGTCTTTTCCTACCAGGAGGTTTCTTCAAAGGTCAAGCGAGACCAGAAACCTCGAGTCATCTTATTTGCCTGATATGCAATTCACCCAGGGCAATGGTTCAGGCACCGCTTCAGCTCCAAAAATGAAATTTAAGCTGCAGCAGGAGCAGCTGAGTGGGGGTAACCCAGCACAGACACCCTTTCCAACAACCGGCCGAGGGGGTTTTCAAAGCCAACATGTAAATCATGGTGTCCTCAGCCCTTGGCAGGTTGAAATCCCGGTGTGATCCTCCGCAATATGATGTTGAGCGCTTGGGCAGATGGGGTGGGAGCATTGCACACTGCAAATACAAAAAAAAAGTGGGGGAAAAGCAATGCTTTTTTTATTTTTTTTTTTTTTTTTTTTTTTTTTTTTACTTTGTTCTTTGCAGAAGCGACGACGTGAAGTGCCAGAAGCCGGTGCCGGTATGCACGGATATGAAAATGCACATCTGCAATTTCTCCCTCAAGACCGTCGTCCTCGAGAAAGTCTTGAAGAAATTCCGAGGTAGGTGGAAACGAAACCCCGGGGGGGTTGGGAGGGGTGGGGAGGTTTAAAATAGGGCTGGCCTTTAGCAGGCGTCGGGGAAAAGGGATGCGGAGTGCTGGGGATGCTGCGGATGTCTTGGAAGTCCTTTAGCACATGTCTGGCCAGCGGTACCGAAATAAGAGAATAAATTATGTTGGAGAGGACTTTCTGGAGATGTGCACCAACAGGAGGAGACTCGCCCTGCCAGTCTGCCCGCGGAGGAGATGCGGGATTATTTTTTTTTAAGAGGAAAAAAACATCGATTTTAATGCAATAAAGCCTGAGTTTTTCACATCTGGGATGGTTCGAGGCCGGGATAGCCAAGCTTTGCCTCTAAAAACCAACCGCTTGCAGCGATGCAGCAAAGCCACGAGATGGTGCTGAGGGATTTGGAAAGGGAGCGAGCACCAGAAAGCAGATCTGGGAAGAGAAAATCCCCAAAATGCAAACTACGCCCTGGCGCAAAAACAGGCTTAAAGGATTGTACTAAAAGTTTGAAACTCTATACAACGAGGAGAACAAAATATGGTAGGGCACGATAAATAATCCTTAAATAAATTCCGCATTCTCTTCATGTTGAGAAGCGTTTTTTTAAAAAAAATAAAAATATATATTTAACAGGAATTTTTCCCCCGTTGCTCGTCCCCGTTGCACAAGCTGGTGGGAGCTGGTGTTGCTCCATCCTCAGCTCTTATTGCCTGTCGAGTCCCACGTTGGCAAAGACAGCACTTTGGCAACGTTGCGCGAGTGTAAAGGTCCCCGTAAAGGAGATTTTTGGGGTTCCCTCTGGCTCTCTCATGCTGCCATTTACTTGCCTGTCTCTTCTTTTCAGAAAACCTGCAAGATGAACTGGGAAGAGGTGAAAAAGGTAAAAGGAAAATATTTAAGACGTAGCGCCCTGGAGCAAAGACTTTAAATTGTGGTTGTAATTTGCAAAGCTGGTTTTGCGAAGCCAACGAGAGGGGGAAAAAAAGAAGAGAAGCACTCTAGATTTCTCTCTATTTTTTTTTTTTTTAATTTCTTCTCTCTCGATGATTTCCAGATCCAGCCTTCTCAGTTCGAGAGTCAAAAGACGATTTTTCTAGCTGACGCCGGGGATCTGACAGCTAAGCTAGGTCCTTTCTGCCTGTTTACACTTAATAAAACTACAGTGCGGAACAGAAAAAAACAGATATTTGAACCCAAAGATGGATTCGTACCCTTTCAAGCCACAACTTGCTTTAAGTCTGCCAGATCTGCTCTGTGGCCCGTGGTGGGGCTCCCTTTTCCACCAGGGTTTGGGCTGGAAGGTGTGAGCTCTGCTCCATAATCTACTCCAGTGCAAAGTCAGACGACTTAAATTCTGCGGAAAGCCATTGAAATCATGGCCATGGGCAGGTGGTCGCTTTCAAATCGTGCCACGATGGAGAAGACTTGCTCACCAGCTCTCCTGGGTTGGCAAAGGAGCGAGTTCACACCAGAGGTCATGAATTTGCCACCTGAAAAAATGGCTGGGTTGGGCCAAATTGACTCTTTCAACGCTGGACAAGCCTCCTCATTGCCTCACCAGCAGTGGTAAGGACAGGGGAATGCCAGCGATCCAGGAAAGAATGACGGTGGGCTTTCAGTGGTTCCATCACCAGCCTGATCCCTCTGACTTTGCACTGTGGTGGGTACAGGGCATGGGCAGATGGTGTCAAAACCTGTCCCCATCCTCCAGCTCCCTTGGGGTGAAGGTTGCCATGCCTGGAGTGGTCAGAGCTACCCCAGCAAAGCCAAGCTGCCTTTTAGAAGAGAAGGCTTGTTCTTGCTTTTATGGTGGTGGTCTTCAGCGTGGGGCTTTGCAAACCCCTGGGGGAAGGCAGAGGAGGTCACGGGTTGGATCCTTTCCAAGGACCGTCCGGCTTAGAGGGGCCAGACACTGCTCGCGGCCGTCCCCAGACACCCCTGGAAAGTGCCGACGGGTTGGCAAAGCAAGAGAAGAAAGGCGGATGACCACCGTCTAAAAGCAAAAAGAGCAAAACGACCCTCACTGCATGTCCATGGTGGTGTGTGTGCATGTGTTGGGGTATAACTCGGCTGGGGCAGTTATACCCGCAAACCCTCTGACAGCAGACTGGGCCACAGCTTACGCTGCAGAGAGCTGGGGGATCGCGGGGTGAAGAAGGGACCACCCAAAACCCCGTAGCAGCCGTTGAATCCCACTCCTCTGACTGCCTTAGTGCATCTTTTCCAAAAGCTTTGAATGCTGATTTTAATTTTTTTTTTTAATTTTATTTTTATACATATATGATGCCTCAGCTCCTGGAGTCATATTTTATTTTTTATTTTTAATCAAGCCGAATCATCGTTCACAGCTGAGTTGAAGCTCACACCCAAACACGAATGACTCCAGCAGCTGGAGATGTGAGAAGAAGGAACGAAAACACCTTTTGGCATCAAGGAAATTTCTTGCACATCCAATTAATTTCCCTTAACTTTTGCAAACGGACACTTTGAAAGCACCCGTGTCTTGGTCTGATATGCAGGAGATGTTATTTTAAGGCAAATCTCCCAGTTTTGGGGAGGAATCTGGTGCTTAAGTTATGAAGGAAAAAAGGACCTGCCTTTTCCTGCGGTTGCTATCACTTTTCCGACCCCCCGTGAAAAACTTTCGATCCCATCGTGGGTCTTTTTAGACTTCCTATGCAGTCTTCAGGCCCAAATCTATGGATTTTGAAAGAGCATAAAGGCCTTTGGCTAAATAACCTCTGGTGCGGCATCCAACACGTTTCAGCTCCTAAGGTCCCACCTTAGATTCCCCCAAAAGGGTCTCATTCGTTCACGGCGACTTTGCTGACTACAACCACAATTTGAGGTCACTAACGTGCGCGCTGTTTCCTTTTGAGCCTGATTTTGGAAGGGGAAAAGATGTTGGTATCCAACCTCGTCTGCATGCGTGCATGCTTCTTTTGGGGTGTCCAGCTGAGCTGTGGTGTGTAAAGATACCCTTAGGTCATGGCTTTCCATGAGGACTTGTCATCGTGGGGCAGCCTGGGGAGAGATCCTCAACAATCAGACAATCCACACACCCCATCTGGTGTGTTGTACGTGAGATGAGCCAGAAACGAAAACGAGAATGAAAAATCAGCAGTTTATTTGGGAAAAAAAGTCTCGATCTAAGGTCCATTTTTACTGTACGTAATCGCTAATCATCTGCATGCGGTTTTATCGTCTTCTTTGCTCCTGATGGCCCTGTGTTGTTCTTACTCCATTTCTTAGCAGCATGAGTTTTGCCCTCCCATGAAGGAAACTGGGTGTCAATGGGGGAGGACAGATGTGTCGTCCCCTCCCCGGTCAGTGTTTGAGAGGCGTTGCTGAAGGATCATGAGCTGATCAAAGAGCCAAAGTCCACAACGCAGTTGTAGGTCTCCCTCTAGGACATCTCTAACCAGATATTGGTCCTCGTTCACCATTATTTGCTTTGCCGTGTTGTTCTTCACCCTCAGCTGGTGGGGCTTAACCCCTAGTGAGGACGTGAAAAGGTGAGGTAGATGCTCATCCCATATCTTTAATTTGGACCTATCTCACCCACCTCCAAGGGTTTCACACATGTAGCTTGTCCCCATGTGCTGGTAGAGAGAAGCAGCATACTTGTTAACATCCAAAATGACTCCTCTTAAAATTAGCCCCAAGCCTCCAGGCTTTCTGCAGAGTCAATGGTGAGAGGAACCTCAAGGCCAAGCCAACCTCTGAACACAGCTTTCCTTCAGCACAGACTGTCCAAAGAGGGGTTATTGAGGTTGGGATGTTGGTTTTGAGGTTGAATGTGATTCAGCAACTGATAAAAACATCCCTATCTTGAGCTTCTGATTGTTAAAATTCCTGTTGACTCACTATGACTGTCACTGCTGTCATCAACAGAGGACCTGACCCTGGACCCCGATTCGGCAAACCACCTCCTCATCCTCTCTGCGGACCTCAAGAGCGTGAGGATGGGCTGCAGGAAACAGGAGCTGCCCGACAACCCCAAGAGATTCGACACAAACTCTCGGGTGCTGGCTACCACGGGCTTCAAGTCGGGAAGACATTACTGGGAAGTGGAGGTGGGGGCCTCGGACGGTTGGGCCTTCGGGGTGGCCAAGGAGTCCGTCAGGAGGAAAGGTCTGAAAAAAAACTGTTCAGCAAAACGGAGGTCGCTACTGGGCGGTCACCTCGCCCCAACGCACCCCGCTGTGCCTCAGCCAGAAACTCAATAAGGTCAGGGTGTACCTGGATTACGAAGGGGAAGAAGTCTCCTTCTACAACGCTGACAACATGCAGCACATCTTCACCTTCAACGTCGCCTTCCAGGAGAAGGTGTTCCCCCTCTTTTCGGTCTGTTCTACCGTTACCTACATCAAACTGTGCCCCTGAGACATCTCAGGGGCTTCGCTGAGGACCTGTCTCCATGGTCTTCACCGAATGGTGCCTGGACAGCAGTGATGAGCACAAGAGACTCTCAAATCAACCACGCAGCCTGGTTCATTGGGACATAGGCCGAGATGATAGGTGGGTAATCAGGTAGTTGTGGAAAAATACCACAAGAAGGGTCTTCAAATCAGCTGAAAACAGAGAACAGCTATTGAAATCATCAGCACTCCCCAGAAGGTTGTGGTCACCATCTTAAATGCATCTCTGAACCAAACCCAACTCTTCGGTGAGAAGGAAACCGCTGGTAGTCGGTTTGTGGCTCCGAGTCTGATAACTGATGGGTATTTTTCCTTTTCTTGTGTGGGTCTAAGGATCAATATTAGAGCTAGTGGGAAGTTTTGGAGTGGGCCCTCCACCCCTTTAGAAGTGTCAATGGCTTAAAAATGAAATGTTTAGTGGGTAAGTGTCCTGTGGGAAAGGTGAAGCGGGTGACACCAAGCAGAGCACTTTGGACATCCAGGCAAAGCTCCTTTCTATTCGACTGAGTCAAATTAAATTAGAAAGTTTTGCTCCTCCCGAAGTGAATTTAAGGGGGATTTTCTGTTGGTTTATTATGCCGTTGCTCCCAACGAACTGGAGTCACCGCCTCTGTGCCAAAAGTGCAAATCCTGCCCAGGTGCCTCCAACTCCTCCAAGATTTAAGAGGAGGTAATCAGGCTTATTAGCTGCTCCTGGGGAGCGGTTGGACTTCAGTAGGTCAGGATGCTCAGTGGGGATGTTCGCACCCTGGTGCCGGGCTGCGTCAGGGTCTCAGCTGGAGTTTCTGGATCTTTCCCTCTTGCTGGGAAGAGAGGTCCCCACTGAAGGGTGGGTGCCTGGCTGCTTATTCCAGCTGGTGCTCCTAAAATCTGGGATAATACTGTACTCCAAAGGCTGTTTTTGTGATGTTGAGATGGTGGTCTGAGCCGTCCCAGGTGGTCTGAACCACAAGGTCACCAAAATCCAGCCCCTCCTGGAGTCAAGCTGGGGTTGAAGAGATGCTGTGGGCTTTTGGTTGCCCTCTGCGTCACCTCATGTAAGTGCTCTGTGCTTCAGTTCTCCATCCATGGCTCCTCCGGGCAGGAGGGAGGTATTGCTGCTACTCCGGAAAAGGCTGAAAGGTGCTTTTTTGTTTGTTTTTATTTTGTGAAGCAACAAATGTTGACGTTGTTCAGGTGCGTTTGTCCTACTGGATGTGAGCAAGACCCATGTTTCAGAATATTGGTGCTCCTCATGAGGTCCCCTCCTTGTAGAAGATGTTTTTGGAATAACTTCTCAAGGTTTTCCCGCTTTGCCCATAGTAATGTAGATTTTGGGTGCTCAATCTTGCATTTTCTCCAGCTCTCTTTACTGCTCAGCTCTTGGCAAAATCATCCGTTTTACCTTCATCTTCTGGTTTTTGTGTTTTGTTTTGTTTTCTGGAAATCCTCACTCGTTGCTGAGACAGCCAATGTTTAAATGATGGCAAAACGCCATCGTTTTCTAAGCTCCATCCGTCGGTGAAGCTGTGCCACTGTAGAAATTGTATAAATAAATAAAAAACCCCAGAAAAAGAAAAGCCTTAGCAGGAGGCACAGTATTTCTTGTGTCGTGACTCGGTGTTTGTTGCCTCTGCGGGTGAGAAATGCTACTTCTGCAAACCACGGGAAGAAAGAAAAAAGAAAAAAAACCCCAAAAACTAAAAACCAAACCAACAAACCACCCAATAAACATCGCTTTGAAACCTCCCAGGTTGTTGCTAACGAACGTGTTGGAAATAAAATACGAAGGTGCTACCTGCGCTCATCTTCTCCTGGTTATTATTCCCAACTGCGAACGGGCTGGAGACCATCAGAAATGGGGTTTGAAGGGTTGTCCTGCTCAGAATTTAAGTCTAAAGAAAGAATTTAAGGGAAAGCATATATATATATAGGGGCGGAAGCATATATATTGGGGTGGTTTGGGTTTGGTTTTTTTTCCCCCCCCACAAGTGTTTATCTCAAGCACAAACCCAACATTTGCATATTGCTCAAATTAGGGCTGAAAATAAAGACCGACCTGACCTAAAACGTCCTTAAAGGGGAGAAATGGGCATCACCACTTGGGTTATCCCTGCGTGCGGCATCGCGGAGCTTTCCTCGCCGCCTGTACTGCGGCCAAACCTCCTGCGGAAAAAAAAATAATAATAATAATTTTTTAAAAAAAATAAATTATGGAGGTGCCAAGGGCTGAACTTCAATTTTTGTGTTATTTTTGGTGTAGTAGGGGAGTGGGGAGATGATGCGCCGGTGTTTTTTGAGGGTGTTCTGCTCTTTATTGCTGCTGTTTGTCACTGTGTTTAGATGGTGGGGTTTTTTTTGGGGGGGGGATATGAAGATTTGGGGCGATGTACCCAATTTTGGGGTTCCCCCCTGGAGACACCCGCGGAGGTACAGAATATGAGGTGGCTCCATAGCTCAGGGGTTAGAGCACTGGTCTTGTAAACCAGGGGTCGCGAGTTCAAATCTCGCTGGGGCCTCTGACCCTTTTCTTTTGCTTTTCTCCCCAGAAACACCGTCGATTTTCCTCCGCGCCGGGACCGAGCGGAGCCGGGGGATGACAACCGGGGGGTTGGCGGGGACCGAGCCCGGGGACGGAGCCGCTCCCGGCACCGAGAGCCACACCGGGAAGTTCGTTTTTATCGCGGCTCGTTGGTCTAGGGGTATGATTCTCGCTTTGGGTGCGAGAGGTCCCGGGTTCAAATCCCGGACGAGCCCTGCTTTTCTTTTTCCCCTCCCCCTTCCTCTTTTTCCTTTCCCCTTCCTCCTCTTCCCCTCCCCCCTTTTTTTCCCTACTTCCTCTTCCCCCGTTCTCCTTCCCCCTCCTTCCTCCTCTTTTTTTTCCTCCTCTTTTTTCCCCTTCCTCCTCTTTCCCCCTTCTCCCTCTTCCCCCCCTCTCCCTCCCCCCCCTTTCCCCCCCTTTTCTCTCCTTTTCCCCCCTTCTTCCCTTTTCCCCTCTTTTTTTTTTTCCACCTTCCTCCTTTCCCCCCCCTTTTTCCCCTTCCTCCTCTTTATTCCTCCCCCCCGCTTTTTTTGTTTATTTTTCTTTGTGTTTTTTTTTTTTTAATTTTATTTTATTCCAAATAATCATTATTTTAAATACATCTTTTAATTCATTATTTTTTTCCCGTCCTTCTGCAGCTTTTTGGAGTCCCCCTCCAGCTCTCACGGCAGCTCGCTGGGAAAACCCACAGCAGTGGGAAAAAAAAAAACACAAAACCACCCAAATTTCAGGACTTTTTTGCTGTTACGTGGCTCAGATTCGGGCATCTGAATTTCCCGTGGCTTTTAAATCCAGCCTTCCCCACTAATATCTTTTATCGCCCTCCCAAACCACCCAAAGACGAGGCGATTGCTGCACACAGCTCTCCCCGCAACCTCTCTTTGTTTTGGGGTGGGGGTTTTTTTTGCATAAATCTCACAGTTTGAGCACAGCGGCGTAAATTCAGCGTTTCCCATTGCACAAGAGCTGTGGGTGTACAGAAACGCTCCGGATCGGGCCGTTACCTCTCCTGAGCTGATCTTGGCGCCGCTCCCTGTGGAAGAAAATAAAAATAAAAATAAGTTTTATTAATAGCAACCACAAATAAGCAGCTCCTGCTGTGTGTAACTCGAGAAATAAAAATTGCCGAGGTGAACCGAGGTCGGGACAAGAGGTGTGTAAGTGAGAGAAAGAAGAGAAATATATATTTTTTCCCCCAAATACACAAAAATCTGGCTCATTTTAACAGCTTCGCCAAAGAAAGATGAGGTACTTAAAGCTGTATTATAATCCTCTCTTCTTCCCCAATATGCTATGAATTGTTTCCTGAATAATCTGTAGGGAATAATAAAGAATATTAAGTTAATATTAAGTGCAAAAGCATGGAAAAAATAATCAACGCCAGTCCAGCCCCTGTGTAAGGCTGTGTGTGCACCCTCACCGCCACCAGCCTTACGGGAAGGTGGAAACTGCCCAGAAATAATACAATTATGGCCAGAAATAACGAAGAAAACCGTAATAATCACATTATCACACCTTTTTCTGCCCCTTGAGTCCCATTTCACTCGAGTTCCTCAGCTCAGCCAAATCCCGCGGCTCCTTTGGCTGCTGCTTTCTCACCCTGAGCTGCAAAAATTCATTTTTTCTCCCTTTTTTTCCGTGCTGAGCGTGACGTTATGAGCCTCGTTTTAGAGATCCGGGTGTCGCTCGTCCCCGCGTAACACAGCCGCTCCCCCCCAACACGTTTTTTCCCTCCCGAAAACAGCCAAATGGGGGGAAAAACGTGGAAAAAAAACAGGTCAAATCCCCCTTTAATCCCCTCGGGCGGGTGTTGGGGTGCAGGGGACCCCGCAGGGCGTTAGAGCGGGGGAGTTCCCACGCGTGGGTTTCTGTAGTGTAGTGGTTATCACGTTCGCCTAACACGCGAAAGGTCCCCGGTTCGAGACCGGGCAGAAACACATCTTTTTTTTTTTTATTTCTTCCCCCTCCCCGCTCTTTCCTGGTGAGTAAAAAAAGATTCGATGGGTGCAAAAAAACCCGCAAACCCTCATATTTTTTTTTACCAAAGCGCTGTTTTTTAATTATTATTATTGGAGAGGTTTTTTTTGCAAAGATGATGGGGATAAAAGGGGGTGAACGGGAGGGAGGGGAAGCCGGCGGCTAATGGATACCCCGGTTTTAAACTCTCCTAGTTTGCCTCGAGAGGAAGAGAAGACGGGAGGAAGAAAAGAGGAGGGCGAACAATGGGGTGAAAAGGGGAAGATGGAGAGAAAAAAAGAGGAAAAATGTTCCTGGCAGCGGTGGGATTCGAACCCACGCCCCCGAAGAGACTGGAGCCTTAATCCAGCGCCTTAGACCGCTCGGCCACGCTACCCGCGTGAGCGAAACTGCTTCGCCGCCACTTTCACTGGAGACCTGGCCTTTCCCCGCCCTTTTTCCTCGCCCCTGTCACAAGCTCCGATCCT